AAGCCGTATGCCAAACCGGCCACCATGTCCATGTATACAGATCAATAGCATACTTCAAATTAGGGCATATACACAGGCTATGCAGAAAGGCTGATATTCGATCAATCAAAGCGAGTCATTTCAGGGGCGAAGGATCGATACGTTGCCTCACGTACGAGCGGAAGGAGAAAAGCCAATAAGCATAAGATTCAGTTTCAATACAAGCTAATCACAAATGTGAGGCAACAGAGAAGGCATAAAAGGAACCGTAAAAGCGGACGGGATGAATAGTGGTGAGTGGAACAAACTCACAAAACGGGCGTGGTGGAGTTGTCTGACCACCATTATAACACAATGCCAACATGGAAATAAATAAATAATGTGTCATCTGTACGCCGTAACGGCGCGTCGCTGCCGTGCGACCATCAGTCGCACGCGGGCTGAGTATACCGCGAGAAAGCCCACCCCTACGCGGATGCGAACCCGAGCCGCAGGTGAACGAGACAAACTTGTTACCTCTAGGCTACGGGCCGACATGCCAACATGGGACTGCTGCTGTAGCATTAGCATGCACAAAAGCCAGGTTACAACTAACGAAAAACGAAGTTCGGCGGTCTGACGCGAGTCAGATGGATTAGCCTCTGCGGCAAACTGCATCCACAGAAGCCTGCCGAGCAGTTATATAGGATGGAGTAAACATTGTGTAACAGGTTTGTACCTCTCAAGTATCGGAAAGTCATACAGGTCAAGCCACACTGGTTCGACAAGCAACATGGCATACTGGCTCGGTGGTGGCGCAGACTGTAGGACGAATTCCTTTTCTCTCGTTCGGTCGATGGAAGGGAGTTACAGCAGCGCGAAAACGAGCAAGCGACGGCATTCCGAAGGGCAATTTGCTCTCGGCCAGATGAGATTTTAGTGACATGAAGTGACATCTAGAGTTTGCAGGCAACCTACTGGTGCTGAGGGCTCAGATGGACACCCTCTAACTTTCCCCTTCACTGTTGGCAAATGACCAGGTGTTTATAACGAGTTCGACGCGCATGAGTCTTGCCGAGGCCGACGGTCTGGACTGTGCCGTTGAAGTGCTTCAACTAATCTCCAATCTCAACAGGTCAGTCAATGTCCGAAGCTTCATAACCCAGCGATTAGCAAGGCCTGATGATAAGGCCGATTTCGAAAGGCGTTGATTCCAGCAAAGTTGACACTTACAGGCCGATTTTTGACACCTATTTTGGCCAATGTAGTCGAGAATACCGTGAGGAAGTGCTCTATAGCTGTTGCGATTAAAGGAGATGACTAAAGCATAGCATGGTTTCGTACCAGGTTGTTCATTACCAACTTGCTGGTGGTGACGCGTGGATAACTGCAGGCAATAAACCAGGGTAAATCCGTCGATATACACTACACCAATTTTAGTAAAGCATTCGACGAGCTGAATCACAAGGTCGTTCTCCACAAGCGGCAGCAGTTGATCCGCGAGTTTATCGTTAGACGAAAGTGGAGAGTGCAGGTCGACGGCCATCTGATCGACTGGTATTCCTCGACCAGCAGCGTACCCCAAGGTAGGAGTCGGGGATTACGTCGTAACTGATTTATATCAATGAATTAGCAGTTTACCCCGTCGTCGTATGATCTATTTGCGGATGGCCTAAAGATGTGGAGTGAGGAGTACCCCTGACGACTGCGACTTCATTCGGCATGATCTCGACCGATTCTATAAGTGGTCTGCAAAACTCCGCCTCCCAAGCAAGTCAGTAATCATGAGGGTGGAAAAGGGTGTTGACGGCTGAACCTACACGCTTGACGGCCAACTGCTACATACCAGTTTCCATGAAGGACTTAAAAGCAATCTCATAAAACAATTTGAGGTCCGTGGAGATCACGAACGAGTTACGCCGAAACAGGCAACGCATGGTTTGGGAGCTTAAATGCAGCTTCTGCATCTGGTCCGAAGTAGTTTCCACTCTGTCCTTCTTCTGCACCATAACACTAATCCTAGAGTACGGTTCATCCTCTAGCTGCCCGATTACCGGAAGCGAGATGCAGAAGTTCGAACGGAACTAACACGTTGCCACCAGGATTATCCTCAGGTTACGAAGTTTGTCGTACGAAAACCAGTATGACAGACCCGGGCTGCACATTCTGTCCTACCGTCGCACGCGAATCGACCTTAAAATGACGTCGGCATTCTATACCTCGGTGATTTCCCCATACTCTGACTGCTGCTGTACCTGCGAACACGTACACACGTACACGTAGACACTAGGTAAAGCTTGTGGTGCCAGATATGAAACAGGTTGAATACTACCTCTGCTTCGAACTATGGTATGAGCATTGTAATGGTAGCTGTTGGTATTCGCCAACGCATTCGGAACAAACGGACAAGAGACCGTTCGTAATCAATTGTTCGCCGCTAGCTGAATAACAACGCTTATATGCGTGAACGATTACCGCCATGTAAACCGGCGCCAGCAGACATACTTATCAAGGAAGAGCAAGTTGAAATCGCTCAACGGAGCATAGCTTGTCCTACTAATAGTCTTTATTCCTGATCAAAATAGATTCTGATCGCAACTCAGACTCGTTTTTTTAACTCCCGGAAGACGTTACACAAAATGGGGACAAAGGAAAGAAACCGATGAACATGCAGCAGCTTCGTTTTGGCTGTCAGCCGTCCATCGCAATGTCGACTCCGTTACAGAGGGCGAAGGGTAGATTGCCTGAAAACTAGAGCCTGTGGAAAGCCAAATGGATGGATTTAGCCACAGTGACGCAGCTGTACAATCATCCGGTTGCATATCAGTTGGCGATAAAGCCAAACTCGCGCTGGAGACGGTCAAATAGTGCGACGAATAACAAAAGTTCAGTTTGAGCGGCGTGCTCTAAAGTTTGGTGAGTTCTTTGAAGGCTTATGAAACTTATGAATGCCTTCCAGATGAAGCTGTCTCACACTGTCTAGATATGCCATATATGCATTTATTTAACTAAATAACAGCTGAAACTGCTTGCAACATGCATTTTTTGCTAGTGCCTAAGTAATTCGCAGATGAAAGATCGAATTGCACTGGACATTCAAGATGAGAACATTGAATAAAAATTATTGCAACAGAGAAATCTATCGCTGGACCAACGTATCGACAATTGCAATAGCGAAGCGGTAACCGCGTTTTAGTTTTGCCAGATGAAACCTGACACAATCACTGAACTGTGTGTTGTTTCTCAGTCCAAGTAGATGAAGTTGCAGACTCCAAGGACACGTGGACCAACGTACCAGCACTGTGGCCGCACTCATAACACACAGAAGGGAAGATGTCCATCCCGGGGAAAGACGTGCATGAAGTGCTCGAAGAAAAGTCACTTCGCGAAATGTCGCTGATCGAAGGTGAATTCAGTTGACTGCGACGACCCGCCAGCAACTTAGGAAGTTAAAGTCAATAAAAGAGAGCGTCGGTTGTTGCAAAACGCTCGGTAGTTTCCAGTTTGATACAGGAAGCCAGGATCAACATCTTGCTGAAGATACACTATTATCGAGCGTGGTGCGACAAGGCAAAAGGGAGAAAGGCACGAAATTCCATCCGAAGATCATCAATATGGAGGATGGAACGAACCGAGAAATCACACTTGCCATGCCACAGGGATATTTTGTGCCAATCCTGGATCTTGATTATAGTCAACAACTTAGTTTGGTTTTTTTAATCGAGGGTGTTTTGTGCATTCATGTGAGTTAGCAATAGATGCCGTTCATCGTCATGCTAAAATATTCGGCTAAGTGGAAAGGTTCGACAGTTGCGTACATGTATCGCCAAATGAGCGCTGTGCCAGTAGAAGTGCATGTTAGAAAGGAGCGCCTAGTTGCGCTCGACGTTATAGCCAAGGTTAGCGAATCAACAGATTGGGTCAAATGGCAATTGTTATTAAGAAGTGCATGATGATTTACGAGTGTGTATCGATCCAAAACCGCTTAACGCCGCCATTAGAAAACAGCGTTACAGCCTACCGACATCATAAGATATATTGGCACTTCAATCATCGGTAAGGTACTTCACAAACGATGAGTTAGCTTTCACATTTTGGCATCTCGTGCTTGATGACAAATCGAAATATCTGACGACGTTGGGCATAACATTCGCGTGATTCCGGTGGTTACGCTTGACATTCGGTTTGAAAGTTTCCAGTGAGACATTTCGAAAAAGTCGATTGTAAGCGCTAGAACATTTGTTAGGAACCATCAGCGCGGCTGACGACGATAATATTGGGCTACACCATAGAAGAGCATGATCGCAATCTCGATCAGTTTCTCAACATGCGCAGAAAAAAAGTACTAAACTGAAGCGTAACAAGGTGGAACTTCGCAAACTAGGGGTAGTATTTCACGGACACCGATTGAGCTCCGATAAATAGAAACCTGATCCAGAAAGGATCACGGCAAGAGAAGAAATGCCAAGTCCTACTGACGTCAAAGGAATCATTCAGTTGAAGGAAATCGTCAACTACCTGAATCGCATTATCAAGATTGACCAAAGTAATGACACCCGTACGCAAACTTACGCACAAAGGAGATTGGTACTGGGACAACAAACAAGAAAAAGCCTCCAATCAATTACAATATCTGATCGCAGCTGCTCCAATACGCGCTTACTTTGGTCCATCTCTGCCTACCAAGCTACAGTGCGATAGCAGTCAGCATGGAATGAGAGTGGTGTTAATGGAAAAACAGAAGACCGCTGGATATTTGAAGACGAAATATGGCACAAGCCGAATGACGTTTTACGCGAATTGAGACGGATGCTCGCAATCACGTGTGTGGTCGAACGCTACAACGACGGCACAATCAAACAAAGGACCGCAGGATACACAGATCACAAGCCACCAGTGCCGTTTTCAAAAGATGCCCATTCGGCTTCATAAATACCACTGCAAATGCCTGAAGAGATTTATCGAAAAGAGTACTCGCAAAGGTGTTCTTGCATTTTCATGATTACTGGGTTGGAAGTAGCAAGTAGAGGTTTCTGTGTAGCTGCTTCTAATGTCACACAAGGACAAAAATCCATTATGTTGTGGTGCGCTCGATACATTTTACGTCGGCAAAGTGTTTGTGCAGGAATTTCTTAAATTCCAACACCGACTTTGCCTCAACTGCGTGCTGCGGCAGATCGTTCCATACATTCATCAACCTGCGTTCGAAACAGAGTTAGTGAGTCGCCTGCTTCAAATCCGGTACGACAAGCTTGTACCGGTCTTTGTGTGCTGCTTGGTTTGCACAGATGAAGCAGCGGCCTCAACATGGGGTAATCTCCCAGATGTAATATCCGGTGCGTCATGATGGGGTCAAGCCTTAGTCGACGATAAGTTAGGGTGTACAACCTTAGTTTCTTACACCGGTCTTCGTACGGTACATCTCGTAAGTTCGGAATCAGCCTGGTGGCTACATGCTGCACTCGCTCAATCTATTTTACCTCGCCCCGGGTGATAGGACAATACGCGGGAGAGCCATACTCTAGCATTGGTCCTATTATTGAGACGAAGAGGCGAGTGGCAATCACTTCGGACCAAGTGCTGAAGCGACGCCTGAGTGCTCAAAGTATACGAAGGTTGTTTTGGTAAAGCCTATTCGTGTTGTCTATGGACTTTGGGTCTTAGCGTGAGAGTACACCGACGTCTCGCACAAAAGGCGCCGGATGCAACGGTTGACCAGCCACCGTGTAGGTTCGACTGTGTTCACACTTACCCAGCCTCATGTATTGCGACTTGACCGGGTTGATCGGAAAGTTGACCTCTGCAGACCACGTGGAGTGGCGGTCGAGGTCTTGCTGAAGCAGGTCACAATCATTGGGTGTGCCGACTACTCTCAACACATTTAAGTCATCTGCGAACAGCGCAAAAGGTGACTGGAGTAGATGAGGTACATCGTTAACATGGATCAGAAACAAAATCGGCCTCAGTACAGTGCCTTGGGGCACGCCACTGCTCGGTGGAAAGCAGTCGGTCAAATAGTTGTCCACCTGGACCTTCCACTTTTGATCAACAAGGAAATTCTTGATCCATTGATGCAGTGAGCCGCCGACACCGCACACCCACAGCCTGTCGAGGAGCACTGCAGGATTTACCTTGTCAAAAGTCTTACTGAAGTCAATGTAAATGACATGGACCGACTTGCCCTGGTTCAGCGCTTGTAACCATTCGTGCGTCGTCAACAATAGGTTGGTGTTGCACGAGCGGCCTTTCAAGAAACCATGCTGTGCGTGCGTCAAGAGGCTTTTCGACTCGAGAAACTGCAGAAGACTCTTCTTCACGATCTTCTCGAGCTTCTTTGTCAAAACAGCGGTCAGGAAGATCGGCCGGTAGTTATCTACTTTGCTTGGGTTACCACCTTTCGGTATTGGCTTTACGATCATTTCCAGTCGTCCGGTAATAGTCCAGTGGATAGTGACCTGTTGAACAGCTCAGTTACAGAAGGCGAGACGATGGCCGATATATATTTATTCACAGTCTGTTAACATTGTGCCATCAGAACCACGGCAGAAGAAAAAGGTGAAGAAGATGGGAACACTAATGCGATTTTAAAAAATGTGGGAAACGATATTTTTGTGGTTTTACACACGCCATTTTGTTTTGTTTTGTGAGTTTGTATGTGTATCAAAGGGATGGTGAAATTGCGGAACAACATTGCCGCCACTGGTGTCTGTTGCGGGCCATGACGTCCAGTGTTTCCAACCACTGCAATCTAGCATCTCGTGGTCCCCAACCTGGAAGGCGGACTGGTCCGACTGCTGCCAAACTTGAGGTCGCCTTCTTCATACTCCTTCTCCACGTCATCGGCTGTCCACTGCGACACTTTTTCCAATCGCTCCCTGGGAGTGTGAATAGCGCTCGACGTGGAAGGCGATGGGCTGGCATGTGCAGAACATGCCCGAGCCAGCGCATGCGATGTCGGAGAATAACGTCTTGAAGACTGGCACTATTCGCCCCAAGCACGCGGTCTCTCACCTCTGCGTTGCTTACGTGGTGTTGCCACCACACCCGAGCAATCCTTCGTAGACAGCGATTATCAAAGACTGATAGCCGCTTCATATCTTCCGAGCGAATAGGCCGTCTCACAGCCGTACAAGAGTACTGCACGGACGGAAGCATTGTACACCCTGCCCTTGAGCTTGAGACTGACATCACGACGACGCCATAGATGTCTCAGTTTGATGAATGCAAGGCGGGCCTTTGCAATCCGTTGTGAGACTTCATCTCCAACACCGCCACCAGCCGTGATGCAACTCCCTAGGTAAGTAAAGCAAGGGACTTGCTCCAGAACATGCCCAGCAATGGTGAGCGCGGGTTCAGGCACCTGCCAATCCTGGAGCAGCGTTTTACATTTTCCCGGAGTGAAGCATAAGCCGTACTTAGATGCCTCCATCGCCAAGCGGTCCAGAGCGTTCTGGACGGATTGTGGGTCGTCCTCCAGCAAGGCGATATCATCGGCGTAGTCCAAGTCCGTGACTCTTTCTCCAGGGAGAAGCTCAACACCGCAGTCCTGGACACCTTCCAGTGCTCTTTGTAGAACGTCTTCGATGGCGAAATTGAAGAGGTAAGGTGAAATAGGGCAACCTTGGCGAACACCGCTGGTCACAGCGAATGAAGAGGAGTGCGTGCCGTAAGCCCTAACTTTGCTCGACGTGTGACTGTAAAGTACTTTCAGGATGGTTACAAACTTGTCGGGTACACCTTTTTTCAGTAAACAGTTCCACAACGCAGATCTATCTACTGAATCAAATGCCGCTCGGATGTCCAAAAACACTACGATTGTTGGCCGCCGGTGGATGTGACGAAGTTCGAGAACTTGCCGAAGCGTGAAGATTTGGTCGATGCAGCCGTGGCCTGGACGAAATCCGGCTTGTTCTTCTCGGGAAAACTCCTCTCTAGCCGTTGAAAGCCTGCTAAGTAGGACCGACACGAAGATTTTGGATGCGACAGAGATTAGGGAGATTCCGCGGTAGTTGCAGCAATCGGCGCGGGAACCCTTCTTGTGAATCGGGACAATGACCAATTTTCCCCATGAGCTCGGAACCTTCTCCTCAGTCCAAACTTTCGTGAACAGCGATAGGATTTCGCTGATAAGTACACTCCCACCATCTTTGAATAGAGCTGGTGGTAGGTTGTCTGGACCCGAAGCTTTGTGGCGTTTCGAAAATTGGACTACATTTCGAATCTCTGCTTCAGCTGGAGGGGCTGTGGAGACAGGCCAAGAATCATACATTGGGGGTGGAGGTGTCGCAGGGGACTATATTGGGTGGTTGGATTGAAGAGCGAAATGCTCTGATCAGCGACCCAATCGTCTGTGAAGGTTGGTGATCTTCGTGCCGTCTGCCTCGCAAATCGTCTGGTTGACAGCGTGGAAATTGCAACCAGTGGCCCTGATGATGCAAAATAGGCGGCGGAAGTTGCCAGCTGATGCAGCGGCTTCCATCTCACCAGCTTGTTTTGACCACCAAAATTCACGATCAGAGCGAAGGCTTGCTTTCAGCTGTTGCGTAATAGACCGGCGGTGTTCGCTGTACTCTGCGCCAGCAGGCACCGCCCGTCGACGATCCAGCAATTCTGATGATCTTCCCGAGATCCAGCATTTGGGAGTGGAGCGAGTGAGGCCACAGCTGGACAAACCGGCCGACAACAAGGCTTGCTGGAGACTTGACCAGTGTTGATCAACATCCAGAGTGTGAGAGAGAAGGAGCTTTGCGCGAAGCTTTTGTTGATAATATCTCTTCACCATTGGGTCCTCCAAATTGTAGGCGTTTAGTCGGGTGTGTTTTGACCTAGGCGAACCACCAAAACGCATGCAAACGGTCGCACACACCAGTGCATGATCGGTGTCGACGCATGTTAACCAAAATGATCGGCAGTCGCGTACACTGCCGCGCCAACTGCGACTTATAGCTATGTGATCGATCTGTGACCAGCGCTGGGTTGATGATGGGGGCGCCAAGTGGCGTACTGACGTCCAGGATGACGAAAGCTGGTGCTGGAGAGGAATAGTTGATGATCAGCACAAAGACTGAGCAGTCTGTCTCCACTGTCTGAGCGAACATCATCATATCCATGCGGTCCTCCGAGGTGGCGCTCAAATGGCAGCAGACGACCGACACGCGCGTTGAAGTCACCTGCCAAAACAATGATGTCTGTTTTAGGAGCCCTTAGGAGCAGCTCATGAAGGTTCTGGTAGAACTGGTCTTTGACGATGTCTGAGCTACAGTCAGTGGGCGTGTAGGCAG